TCGTTTCGTCAAGTGGATGGAAAAAAAAATCTCGGAATTGTATGGACAACCATGGAACGAATTAATTCCAAATTTATAATCCCATTTAAATGCAAAACCCCGTGCTCTTCAAATTTGGATCCCGATGGGAAAGCATTCCCACGTTCTTTGAGCGAAGCAGAAATGAGATAAAGTTCTAACAGAAAAAGGTAGTAGGATCTACGGAATTGAACTGAATTTGGCGTGGAAAGAATTTGCAGGAGGGGTGTTTTCTGTGCCTCACCGTAAAATCAATACATTTTGATCACTGAATTTTCGGATTTAATGCTGCATTCAGGTTTTTAAATTAAGAATTTTCTGAATGCTTGCATGTCTTTTTTGTTGTTTAAACTGATGAAGGGATAGTAAATTGTAATTTCTGTACTCGAACGAACAATTTCTTGAGTATCTCTTGTTTGTTTCATAGTTCAGAATAGAAAGTTCATCTTTTGAAATTTGCACATTTGAAAATGTAGGTTGCATTCCTATAGACATCCTCCGGTATTATCAACGTTTTTGAAAACAGGAAGCTTTTTCAATTACGTGCATCCATTGTGATCAGTTTTCATATGAAACTGCTAGTTTTTCTTCTCATTTACGCATTGAATAAATGAAGAATCTTTATTTGTATTTCTGATGTTTCGGATGAATAAACGGGTTGGCATTTGTTGGAAGTTATTTCATTTTTTTTTTATTATTGTTCTACCTCTGATACGAACGTGTTTGAACGAAATGTGATTGCAGGTATGAGCCGGATTCCCCGATTATCAATTCGCAAACTTCGTTTGAATATTTAACCGTCACACGAACAAATTCGCAATCAACCTACTTCACACATGAAGGGATTTCATGTGGCTCACACATAAAAAAAGAGTGTATTTCGATATTGAACCGTCGTCCGTTGGTACAGCTGCCGCAACTAGGACAATCCTCGTCCAGGGCGCGCTCTTTCTCTCTTTGTTATCCCATTATAAATACACCTAATATCCTTTCTATCCCGTTATCTATTAGATATGATTTCGAACTTTGTTCGGAACGGCGGCGTTCTGTCAAAACGAAATAATCCCTCTACTTCTCGGTGTCAATAAAAGTAATTAAAAAGTTCGCGACTGAAAACTTTCTGATTGTCTGTATGTACGTTCCCTTTTTTGCCCTTTTTAGTTTCTCGTTACTTCTTTTGGTTTTTCTCTCTTTCGATGGCCTAGATCGAAGTACAGAAAATCGGATAGATTGAACCGAAACTTTTAGTTATTTGTTGTTCGGGAAATTCATATTATACACTATTAACAATGGGGGCTGCAGGGGTTACACGCATTCTGTTTAACTAGGTCATATGGTGTTGGCTCATTTGCCCGGACCAACGGATCGATAAATAATTTCAAATTTGACTATTTTATGCAATGCTGATTGAACCGAATTCACATTTAGAATTAGTTAACAGAATTCAATATCGATCTCAAACATTACATTTGTACTTTGAGAAATATTCAAAATGTTACATAAGTTATTAGAAGTATGAATTTTACTTGTTAGTCAAACTTATCATTTTTTCATATATCAGGGCCGGCTACACTTTTTGCAGCACGTTTCCATAGTTACCTACCTGAAAATATACGGAGCCGCACCTAAAGTTTTTGGTACAAAATTTGTACAACGTATTTATTAGTTGAGCCACAACAAAACTCTTTTAGAGCCGCAGATTTGGCCACTCTTCATATATATTGTAATCTAGAACAGTATATAGTAAAAATTGAAAATCAATAATGAAGACTTTATATAAATTTATAAAACTTTCAATGTCTATTCGAATTTGTTCATTCTTTATTATTGGGTTTCAAACTGTTTTGCTTATTTACAAATTTCATCATGGTGTTATTTCTTCAACATTTTTATTGATGGTATTGATTTAGTTCTCTTTTCTTGAACATTCTTTAACCCTAGTTCACGATGTATCAACATTTTAAGCAATCTTCAATTTATTCATAATATTTTTTTTGATTCATCATTTTTTCATCAATATATTTTATGAAATATTTCATATATACTAAAACAATACAAACATTCTAAATTACTTACAAGAATAGTTTAATTAATCTGATTTACACAGTAACAACTCGAACTATAGCAGTAATTACTTAACTTTGATTCCAAACCATGCCTTAATTTATCTTTGTGCTTATTTCGTAAGACCCACTTAATTTGTCTGGTCGTTTCGGGGGTGTTCCTCCCCTAAGTTCCTTCTCGTGTTTACTGAATCTCGGGGTTGGTAACTTGGTGCAGTATTTCGGTATTAAAGAAATTTAAATGGAAGATGCAGTGCGGGCGGACGGGGGTTCAACGTCCTCCACCTCCTGTTGGTGACAAAGGCCAAACACGATGGATTTACTGCTTTCGTATGTATGTGTATGTATTATGGTAAAGCGAGGGTTGGTCGCATTGTTCTTGCACGTACCCTTGTCGAAGACATAAAATGCAGTGCGAGCATTATTCGTTCACCTTCACTACTCGATGTACAACGTACATCAGTAGACTTGCAACAACTGATTTCCTTGTGAATCCCAACAAAATCTGTACAGTTTTATAATCATGTGAAAACTCTTCCAATGTTAATGTTAGACTTAAGTATCAAACGTAATTGGTGTTAACTAAAAGCGCAAATGATTTAAATGGATGAGACGGATTCAGGGATGTGGAAGAATAAATAAACGAAGAAGGATGAAAAATAAGGGTGAGATTCAGTCTGGCAACTAGACTGCGAGTTTCGCGACGCTTAATTCAGTAAATATAACGGTATTTCTGCAGCTAATTTGCGACCCGCGGTGTTGAACTAAATGCAACTAACGTTAATTGGTAATTGCGAGTTTCGCACTTTGCCAACTGCGGCTTCCTCATCTGGAAATATTTCGGGTGCGCTTGATAATCCACGTAACTAACAAAATATAATATACACGTTCGATGTTGAAAACCTTGAGCGAAATTCAAATGTTACTCATTAAAGTCAGCATCAAGTAAATTAATTACATCGTTTTGTTTTCGTTTATTTCATTACTGTTAACACACTAAGATTTGTTTTATGTAAATCTTTGAAAACGTGATGTTTGATCTTAGAAAATTGTTTGTTTGTAAGTAAATTGTCACGTCCATTATCCGTCATTTTTCACCTGGAGTTTCCTTAACTTATTTACAGGCTTATATTATATTTGCTTTTCCTTTAAACTTGTATTTCTTTAACATATTTCACCCAAAGCCGTGAACACTTTTTTCAAATATTGTCTTATTCTAGTAAACATGTCTTCTCAATCTCTGTATATTATTAGCTGAAGATTTATCATAACAAAGATGTTATTTTATATATAATCTTACAAATAATGTTTACAACACAAATTTTACAATAAATGAACATATAAGTTCATCTCATGTGCTTTATTTAAAAAAAATATGTTAATAAATAAGTAAAGTAGGTTTGTTTTCACGATATACAACAGCCTACTAAATTTAGAAAAGTGGAAAGTTCGCATCGAGAGTATTCTGCCCACATAGTTTTTGATTCATTTAGATGTCTACAATAGGTGCAGTTTCACTTCGCCAGCCAGACGGAATTTCTAGGAAAACTTTTTATAAATTTATAAAATCCACTTGGCTGTAAAGCCAAAGAGTTTACGTCTTTTTTTTTGTCTGTTTGTTTGTTTTTCCTCTTCTAAATGCATAAATAAAGAGCAGAAACAAGAAAATTAGTAAGTGGCGTATGCTATAAATTGATGCAAAATTTATGTCTCTATAAAAATCGCATTACGTCTAAGATACTATAAATGCTTGTATTGGTATTCTACCCACCTGCTTTTTTATATTATATGAAATTTTATGTTCGAACATTCAAACCGGATAGTCGTTAGAGTTTTCCAAACTCTTCGAGTACAAAAACATATTAATAATAATAGCATGTTTTACATTTTCAATAATTCTTAAAGAAAATAACGTTATATAATAATGTTAAAGTTGACATTAAGGCTGTTGAAATAACTTATAACGTTGTGATCTTGATGTTATAATGGTATATTAAAAGAATGTTGCAAATTTATCGTATTTGATTAACTTTGATATAATATTATAAGTTTACACAAGTTTAACATAGTTATCATATGAAAAAAGAAGTATAAAACAAGATATTTTCACAGAATTATTCCCAGATTTCATTAGAGAACTTTAGAAAATAGAATTCCCCACTTTTAAAGAAATACTTGAATTATAAATCAATTTCAGACTAAGATGATATAAATTTAAACGAGTGTACGTACGATGGTTACATAAAAAAGAGAAATGATGCGAAGCTATAAACCATATTCGCATATCCTTTTTTTATATATATCTTCGCAAAAATGTATTAACATTATGGTATTCCATATATACACGTATTTACTTTAGAGCCTAAGTTTAAGAGAATTTTATTATTTTTCGCATAAACTTGATAAAATATTGAATATTTTGTATAAATTATTTAGCAAGTATAGTCTTCTGTATAAAGTAAATGTGTAATATTTCAATTTAACACGTAACATAAATCATAAGTACTACTTATGGGTCAAAATGATCCAACACACAACAAACACAGATTAATTCTTAAGGGTTAAGTGTGGTAAAGTATTTCATGAAATACTAGTTATTTTATAAAATAACTTGTTCAATATACAGTATGAAATAAATACATGTAATTTACATATTAAACATATTAATAGTACAACATATAAATTGTTTGGTAGTCTTTTTTTGTATTTTCACGTATAATTCAAAAAAACAATAAATTTCGGTGAAAACCGCAACGAACTAACCAACCAACCAACGTGTTGCGTTCATTAAACGGCCGCCTCTGTTAAAATATTGTCTGAAAATGTTAATTCTAACTTTTTAATTAACCCAGCGCCATCGCGGCCACTTAAACGCATACATTCGAGCTGTCGCATGCAGTTATAGTGTATAGAGTTTCCAGTCGGACGCATCTCTCTGACAACCTCATGACGTCTCGCAAATAATGGAAATTAAAAATAATTGCAAATTGGAAAATAGAAAATTATACATGTGACATGGGGGTAGAGAGAGAGACTGAGTCCGGACGTCTCCATTTCGCGGGCATTTTAAATGTAAATGTTCGGTCCGATTTGCATCACTTTTATTATCCGGGAGATGTAATATGTAAGTGTATGTTAAAATATACAGAGCCGCCGAAGTCCTCCTGCGCTCTCTTTTCTTGATCCTTTTTGGTCGTCCTTCACAGGCCATTTCGCATTAAGCGAACTGATTTATAACTGGCGCAGGTTTAATATCGCCGAGGCATCTGCATTTAAATTATGCATCCACAAACAACGCAGTAAACAGTTTCTATAGTTTTTTCGTTTGTTTGTTCTTCGCTTGTTTGTTTTTATCTTTATCTGGAATAGCGGCGAAACCATGCTAGGGGGATATTAAAATCGGTATTTCACGGCGATCAGATTCCATTCTATTTTCGTGTTGTTTCAGAACGGAATCCTCTGGATCCTCCTCAGTCTTGGATGGATGATCGTCATTAAACAAAAGGTGAGTGGTATCAATTGTTCTCTATGTACGGTTCGAAATAGCGTAGAAGAGTGAGTAAGAGAGAGAGAGATAAAAAATGAAGCGAACGTAAAGGATGATCCAAGAAACAATGGGGATATATTACAATGTTATCTTCGGTGTTGTATCAAAAGTGTTGCTGCAATTGATTCGAGGCCATAGTCATCATAGAGCCGTTGATTTGTTGATGTGAATCAATTGGAGTGCGCGAAACGGCGACGGTAGTGTTCATTAGGTATGAGATTAGAATCCGAGGCACTTAACTAAGACAATCGGAGGTCGGCAAGTGGGATCGAAGAAAGTTTTAGGAGTGGATGGGCGACGACGTCTCCACGGGTTTCCTCTCCGTCTCCTCTATTTGTGCAGTAAATCGATCACATCTCGAATTGAGATGGTCTATCCGGAAAACTAATTGTACAGTCAGCAGAAGTGCGTTTAATCCTTTCGCGCTAATAAATCTGGTGAGCATATATACACATATACTACACACGTGAACCCTGTGCTTACGCTCGGCCCAACGCCCAGACCCTACCCTAGCCTGCATATAAATACTGCATAAGCACCGTTGTTACCTCCTCTTTCACGTTTAGTAGCTTTATAATCTCTGTTACTTCACCACCCAGACACCATTCAAACACAAACACACACACTTTCCGTACGCACATACTGGAACTACCGCATTTCCGTTTTCAAAAGCATCGATTTCCTGCATCTATACCACACTTTAGAGTACAAAAGACTTTTGAAGAACAAACTACAGCGTTTATAACATACACTGAAAATGTTCAATCTTATATTCATTATAATAGTGATTCTGCACTATAAATTGGATCTAACAAAAGTTCGCTTAGTTGGCGTTAATACATTTATTTTTGAAAAAAAAAAACAAAAGTTGTTTCTCAATTTGTTAAAGTCTAACGATATTTCATGAAGATCGGTAACATGGATAGGAGAAAATGCAAGATTAGTGATGTCATGTTGGTAGAAATTCCAAAAATTGTTTTGTCATTCTCTACGGATTTCGACATCAACTCAAGCCTATGCAAATTTTCAAAAGCATCGATTTCCTGCATCTATACCACACTTTAGAGTACAAAATACTTTTGAAGAACAAACTACAGCGTTTATAACATACACTAAAAATGTTGAATCTTGTATTCATTATAATAGTGTATCTGCACTATAAATTGGATTTAACAAAAGTTCGCTTAGTTGGCGTTAATACATTTATGTTTGAAAAAAACAAAAGTTGTTTCTCAATTTGTTAAAGTCTAACGATATTTCATGTCAAATTTCAAGAAGGTCGGTAACAATGGATAGGAGAAAATGCAAGATTAGTGCATGTTATGTTGGTAGAAATTCCAAAAATTGTTTTGTCATTCTCTAAGGATTTCGACATCAACTCAAGCTTATGCAAATTTGCCACGAATGCCAAAATGGATATGGAGTGAATGCATCATCCCTTATGACCATTTCCAAGTGATTTCTAAGATTCCAAACCGGGTATTTTTCTGTTGAGGATGAATCTCGTGATGGTCGCCCGAAATCTTTCACCGACGACACAAATGTAATCCTGGTGAAGGCAAAAATTGACGAAGATCGAAGAATGAGTCAGGAAATGGTAGGTGATGAACTGGGCTTGAATGCCATGGATATGTCGAGAATATTAAGTCATCACTTGGGATGCACGAAGAAATCCGCACGATGGGTTCCACGAATTTTAAATGACGACCGAAAAAAGGCACGTGTTCGTTTTGCCCAATATTTCTTTGAAAACTTTGAAAATGGAAAGTCTAGCACCTTTAGGAAAATAGTAACAGGTAATGAATCTTGGTTCTATAAGTACGATCTGGAAACCGAACAGCAGTCCATGGTATGGAGCGCAGAAGGTGCAAATCAAGAACACAAAAATCTGCAATAAAAGTGATGGTGTTAATTTATTTTACCAGGGCAAAAGTGGTAGCTGCTATCTCACTGGAAACTGGCCAGACGGTAACTGCTAAGTGGTATACAAAAACTTGCTTACCGCTAGTTTTCAAAAATATGTCGGGAAACCAGAAAAAAAGGGAACTTCGTCGCTACTTTTTGCACGACGATAATACACCCACCCACACTGTTGAAAAAACTGCTTAAAATAAAATTGTTTTTACTGTTTTTACAGCCAACTAAGTGAACGTTTGTTAGACCCCACGTATAAGTGTACAAAATAAACAACAGTAACTCAAAAATTATAACAACTGACTTAACTGTCAGTAATAACAAATGTATTTTTCATTGTAAATTCGTGGATATACGTGAATTGAATAATGTTTATACGCGGATTATATTATTATTTAAAATTGATTTTACAGTATCAACGTATTACAGGAAATATATCCATTTATTGATGGTGATGCACTTTAAACCATCAGCGTAATAGCAAAAGTAAATATACCATATAAATTATCATCTCTATACAAAAAAATATTACTTCAATGTATTGCATTTGTAATGGTGCGTACACACCGTGCATAAGTCCCGTATGCAATTATGAAAATTCTATTAGATGAACGTATTGCTCGCGTAGTCTACATAAAATGAGATTGGGAATGTTGAGAATGGAATCGTCAGTACTAATTGGAAATGGTATTGCGCTAAGTGCCGTACTTGTTGGGATTATGTTTAGATAGGGAATGGAATTATATTTAAGTTCTTAGTGTTCGCCTGGATTGTGTTTCATTTGAAAGTTCATGTTATTCCGCAAATATACTGATCGTATAAACCCGGCTTAAAATAATAAAATCCGTGCTGCCCGGGTTCGTATTTTCATTGAAATGAAAAATATGTTGGTGGATCAAGTGTGCGATATTCGGTAGACGATTCCCTGGCAATTGTTTCACGCGTTGGATGTAGCAGTAATAAAATGAGAGAGATACGCCTTTCTGACTGCCGTCGGCTCGTGTGGTAGATGTGATTTTGCTGACAGAAGAAGAGAAGTGAGCAGGCAGAGAGAATGCGATAGTAGACGACATAGTAAATAATATTTGCATTTTCCTTGGAACAAATGCGTTCATCTTTATATCTGCTGCTTGCTGGAACGGGGAGGTGTATCAATTACTTAAGCGCGATGTAGGTTGATGAGCGGGAAGATTCATCTCCGTTCAATATTTATGCTGTGCGTCGTCTGTTGTACATACGTTGTGGAACACAGTAATGATGTGAAATTCATTCCACAGAAATGAAATGAATTGGTACGTATAATAACTTCCGTTTGGGAGGGAAAACACATTTTCTCTCGTTCCAAGTATGTGTCCGTCCGTTTTGTAAAGGCGAACCGGAAACGATGTTTGTGCTTCGCTCTTTTTACATCTCTCTAAAGGAAAAGATTTCTGCAATGAGTGGGCAATTCTTAAAGCGCGAGAGCAATTCGAAAGTGCCCAATAAAAGCATTATTTATGGTGAATGTACATAGCGTTCCTTCATCCATACACCCTCCCTCGTTCCCAACCATCAGAACACACGAAATGTCTGTCATATCGTCTCTGGAAAATAATAAATCGCCATCGCGCTGATTCAGCTTACTGCTGTCTGTTAAACCAGACTTGAAACTTTAGGGAGGATAAGAATATAAAGGGATATTCTCAAGATCTCGAGATATAGCTCCGGCCGGCGTCTACGAAAATATAATTGAAAAGCTTTCCATATTATTCTACGTTTTTTATTATTTACTCTACCACTCCAGGCGGCATCACGCTCTTCAGAATTTAATTGTCTTGAATCGGATTTCTAACTTCGTTAATGAAGATGCGATTTTACGTTATAAACGTCTTTCGATCCCTTGGAAAGCCCCTGTTGCTGTTGCGGTCTAATTAAAGGCCATATTAATTAGTATAAAAGCAAAGGCTTGCTAAAAGTTTAAATACCGTCCGCGCTGCTACTCGTTATTCTCGCAAATCATGACTCACTAGTTTGTATTTACGTGCGTTTTTTTTTTTGCAACAGAAAATTATTTGTGCTCTAACGTAGAATTACGATTACATTGATTCACAAAAAGTTCTATATGGCTAATGCAGTGAATTACTATACTAGTCCATATTTAGTGCACCATTTGTTTACGTTCACGGTGATGCGTATAAATAACTGATAGTTTCATCACCCGATTTATTTTCGCACTATTTATTATAGACAAATTTCAACTCTTAAAATATTTGTCATCAGCATCAATAAATCTGCATAAATCTCAACCCCATCTAGATACTATCAGTTTAATTCATAATTCTAAATATATCAATTTTATTTCATGTCCTAGATTTTGTTCTTGAGTTTAAATAAATGAAATATTGATACTTTTTATTTTATACAGCAAGAATGATCAACTTTTTTTTTGTTCATTACTGATAAAATTATTAATATTTGAAGTAATTACATAATTAAATTGTTTAATAATTTAGTAAGAAAAATAAGTTGTTATATCTAACGACTTGCTATATAGTTGCATAAAGTTATAATAAATCAGATCATATGCGAATGAATGAAAGAGACCAATTAATTGTTATTTTTTTTTTACAAATTCGATATTTAAAATTAAATATAAGCATGAAGAATTTTGTAATTCTTGTTTACAAATTCTCAAATCCGAAATCTCTAACAAAACAGTAAACATGCCTAATGCCTTTCACAACAACTTGTAGTTAAAAAAAAACATGTTTAACCTGTGTAGCAACGAAAACAAAATATGGATGGATGATGAATATGAAATACTCTTACAAACACCATAAATTAAGACATAAAAGATAGATATGTAGCAATGATTAAGAAATAAATAACTAAAATTACTCAATAATATAAAATTTTCCAAATAAATTGTAATTCTGGAAATAGTTTCAGTAATAAATATAATCTAAAGAATTCTGTTAGTCGAAAGCTTAAAAACGTTAAATCGCTTTAATAATTAGATAAAAAGGTGACTAATATAATTTGAAAGCTTGAGAGAAAAGGAACTGTAATATAGTTGAATGGTTGGGGATGTTTTGCTGTTGTGAGAAGTCTTAATATATTCGTACAGTGCACTCTGCTGATGAATAACTATGACTAAGATAAGCTTTTTAAAAACTTTATTATGGTTGTGATGTAACTGAATTCTTTTATTTTTATTGCAGGAAACTTTAGAGAAACTGTAGCATGGATATTTTCATGTTTTTTTTTTTGTTGTTTCTGTAATATCCTGCCTGTCTAGTAATTTATTTGTATATCCTTGGCTTCCGTCAATGCAGAAAGTGGTATTAATACCTAATCATGTAATCTGTATGCGCATCCAGACTACGTATTTTCAATATCCCAGTATAATGGGGCCCTCGCGCATAAAGGGCCCCTAATGCGCTGGGGTTACCGTCTCTTTAAAGCGCATCCACTCGCTGCTTTCTTTCTCATACCCACTTTTTTTTCTTCTTCCCTTTTGTACAAACGCTCTCTCGTTTCCACTGTAAAGAGCCTCGAATTATTCTCGGATCTACCATCAATATTGCATAATTTTTGTCTCGTTGCTCACTATTTTTGGCAGCTTTTCGCAACTATAGTCTAATGCTATCATGTCGGTGATTGTTATGGCGTTTCGTCCGGACCTTTCGGTCAATACAATTTATATAGATCGCACCCAATCTGGTGCACTTGTTAGCCACCCTACGTGCCAAGAATTGCTCTCGCGATATATACACATTTTAAATGGCGTTTCTGCCGCCTTCCCGGAATCAATTTCACAAATCCTTTTCGTTATTTTCATTCTTGCAAGAAAAATGATGCCGTCAACTAAATATTTTAGGTGCATTGATCTTGTTACTTTTACGATTGGTCATCAAACCACATTTTAGTCGTGACAATATGTGACAATTTAATCCACTTTATCTCAAACTACCGTAACTACTATAGACAAATAAATAAAACACAAGTACTATGGGTCAAAATGACCCATTCTTATTATATAATTAATATAACATCATTTCAGTAGAAATATCTTTACAATGTTTTAAATATGTTTTTTTTATTGCTCAGCAGCTAAATTACATTTTGACAAATTATTTGCGAATTTCACTGGAATAATTAATGCGACTAATTAAAATTATGAAATGAATTACAACGATTTGTATGGAATTACATAATTATTATGAATCACAGCCATAACAAATAAATGAGTCACGAGCGTGAAACGCGATACAATGTTGAATTAAAAGTTGAATTGTTAATTGCAAAATGCGACGCGTAATTGTTTCTAGGAATAGTTTAATCTGCATACATAAAAGACGCAAATAAATGAATTGAAAAACAAAAGGCTTGATAACAAATAGTATTACGACGTCGGCTAGGAAATGCTATAAAAAATCAAGTGGAAATGGAAAAATCGCGAGCGGTGTAAACATCAGCTCTTGAAGAGTTGAAACAAAATAAAATTTACACCTCGAGTTTCGTGAGCCGAACAAAAACGTAACTTATTTACAAGCACTCTAGTGGATATTTTTAATTAAAAAGGCAAAAAACTTGTATATTCGTGCAGATGTCGAATGAAATATATAGGTTGCTTACTGTTGTCTACTTCTTGATATTACCATTGCATGCAAACAATCCATATTTTTGCATGCGTGGAAATACGGGAATAAATGGGAGAATAATGAATACGCTGACAGAATATTGGCATGTACATTGAAAACCGGTGAAAGATTTAAGCTTTCATTGCGCATTTCATCGGCTTTTTAATAAAATTATATTTTGACGTATGTATTTCATTCGAACGGCGAGGATGGATGGAAATGTAAAATGGGAGTGACGAATTTGATGAGTTGCCTTGGTTGGTCCAATATCGTAAGTTGACTAGTATAGGAAATTTGAATAGAAAACGTTGAATAAACTTAAAGTTGTTAATACATCATTTTAAAGTACACTTATTTCATTATATTTTGTATACTTCTTTTAATAATATTTGCTTTAATTATACAATTGGAGAAGAAGTCAAAAGGCAGAGTGATATAAGATTGTTTTAATGTATATAAATGTTTCATTATATTATTTTAAAGTATACATATTTAACTATTTCAATTATTTGTAAAATTTGCTTTAATTTTGCAATTAGAGGAAAGGTTCAAAAGGCAATGATAATAAATAGTAGTTACAGCATATTCAAATCAATCCACTAAAGAGAAAAATGGAAAATTGTCATTTTTTTAACAAGAGAAACAATTTTTTATATTTTCAATTATTTGTAAAAATTGCTTTAATTATATAATTGGAGAAAAGGTCCAGAAGGCAGTGATAATAAGTAGTAATTTCAGCACATTGAAGCACATGAGAAAACAGGAAAATTTTATTACAAAGATTTATGTTACATATTTTTATATTGGTAATATCAAAGTGAGTGAAAAAGTCATAAAGTATATTTTCTGAAATAATAATTTTAGAAACCTGAAATAAAGGCAGTTAAAACCAGTTAATTTAATTGGAATTATGCCTTTTTTTATTGCTCTCATTTGTATTTTTAATAATTTTCTGTAACTTAAGTTTTCTTTCAATTAACTGTTGTCAAAATTCGGCTAATATGATTAAAATTGAACGGTCGTAATAGAAATTGTACGAGTGTAAGGAGTAAGTCCAATAAATTTGACAAAGTTCGGCTGAAGAAAAGAAGGACGATAAAACACCGGAAGGTATATGGAACATGCAGAATTCCGGTGGATGAAAACTAACAAAATCCATTAAAGCATAAGTGGTTACATAGCGAACGCGCACGTATAAGGACAGAAAGAGAGAGAAAAAAAAACAAAGAATGAACGAATCGATCTTTGGTGGGCTGGCAATTTCGCTGTCGGCAACGCAAACACTTGATTTCCATAAATTAATATGCTTAGGGGATGATTGCGAGGAAATCCAAGAGCGATGAACGCAACGAATTATTGTAAATACAATTATTTAGGGATTCAATTAAGAGATGTTTTCTCAAAATATTGTTTTTCATTTTACCAGAAACGCATAATTGAATTCGGAAGTTAATAAAACGGAGGACGTCTTGGGAGGAAGGACGAGTGTACACACACAAAAAAAATGAGAAGGAAAAGGTAAGTGCGGTGGCTGAAGAATTACTTGAATCTGCCCTCACTCCGACTCTCTGGCATCGGATCGATCGGTCTGAACCGTGAAATTACCTCGAAATATCTTCGGGGTAAAAATTATAAATATGTTTATACCAAATGCTGTTACTCTGCGATGTGGCGGCAGAGTGAATTATTTATTTATTTACTTATTTTTTTTTTGCTCTCTTCAAATTTATATTTATATATATGATATTTTTTTGCGTTTGCCGTGAGGCATTCAAATTTTCCGCCATTTAGAAACCGTTTACGAATTCCTCTCGCCGGCGGAATTAATCGTTAACACTGAAAAATGTATGCGAGTGTCTGGAATGCCAGTAGTTAACGCAGACACGTATTATTTTCACCCTAGTAAAACTTTGAACGCGACCACTGGGGAGGATTTTTGATTCCCCAGTAGGATAATTGTTGAAAATAGGGCGGCAAACTACTTCCTCGTACCCCCTGAGGGAATAAGCGAAAGGTTAAACATTTAGAGTTATAATTAGTCCCACTGTACTAAACGCAGACACAAATCTTCTGTCTTTCGATATGTTATTTGATACTTTACATTAGATATTTATGGCACTTTTTTTTTTTACAATAATACAAAATATTTTTTTGCTAATGACATGATTCTAAGTGCAAATGTTTGTAGCCAAAAATATAGTGATTTTTACCAATTCACTTTTTTTTACATTAAGACTAAATAAGCAAAAGGTTATTCAGTATTAGGATTAGTCCTACTGTAGTAAACGCAGAGACAAATCTTCTGTCTTTCGAAATGTTACTTGATACAACTTCATACTTTACATTAGATATTTTTGGCACTTTCTTTTTTACAATAACACGAAATAATAAGGCCACGAATTTATTTCTTTTTTTTACGTTAAGACTAAAATAATTTAAATCATACCTTTGTTAAAGGCTTTAATGATTGTAAGTGCAAATGTTTGTTGGTAAAATATAATAAAAGTGATTTTTTTTTAATCAAAAAGCTTTGTTCAAAATGTATTAAATATTCACAAATTGTAATTATTTAAGGGAGAAAAGAACAACGGACAATAACCTTTTGTATATGTTTTCGTGTGTAAATAAACCTTTGCATTTCTTTTACTTTTTGACCATATACAATGGTTAATTAATTTCATAATAATAACAATTTTCATTGTCTCAAATAAACAATAATGTAGAAATATATATTCAAATGTATTTAAGTGCGTTTTTTTTTTCATTAACTAGGTAGCTAGATTCAGTTTCCATCTCGTAACACATTTATTCAATATTTTGATCAAGAAAAGGATGTGACATTAAATATATTATTTTTTTCGTGCAGGTTTCTTATTTCACATGGCAACCAAGATATTCGCTCTAGTATCGTAAGTTGATCTCGGAACCGAGGGTATTTTGGCAGACCTGAAACTTAATATGCTATATGTTTCACCGATGTTTTTTACTGGGCCGCAAATATGAGATTTCTTCACAGTGGCGTAACTACAAATATTAGGTCTGTTCTCAGTTTATATGTCTACTAACACTGTTTAACCCTTTCGAACCAGTGTAATATGTAAAGCTTTCTATTTTATAACTGAATACCGATTTTCAGCATAAAACACTAGATGTAGTCTTGACAGATATTTCATTACTAACTTCAACCATACTTTAATCTTCTCGTATCTGAGTGACGGTTATTATTGTGTTGTGTAAATAATAGCCAAAGATATATTAGATATTATATAAATATTTTCTATACAAAGAATACTTTTGACATTATTTTATCTGGAATATAAGGTTTATGAACTTACTGAACGAAAGTTATGTGTCGTCTTTACACAAACAACCATCTTCATAGCTCTTTGAAATATATGTAAGCAATTGCCACCACTGAGTGTTTTGTCTAGTTTGACGAAAAAAACTATATTTGTTTTTATATATATGATGATGATGGCATACTTCCAATGCAGTTTTTTTGGAAATTTAAAGAAAGTTTTAAAGACATTTAACGAATCAGGACTACTCGAAATTTACATGAAAATATAGAAATTGACAAAGACATTGATAATATAGATAAGTGGGCTTGAACAACTTGAAAACTGCGGAGGGCGTTCGCGGATTCAAAACAAAAAATACCAAACAATACATTCATTTTTAGATGAAATTTATTTTTCATTTTATAAAATGAGCTAGAAACACGTCTGGTAAAGACTTACAAAAAGTTGAAAACTAAAACAAAAAACTTCTAAGCCTCAAAATTCTATTAAATGCAAATAATAACATGGATTTAATAAGTAATAACTTATAGTAAACATTAAATAAGATTTATAATATAAAACTATTCCGATCACATAATAAAAATATATTATGTTATAATCTAACAAACTAATCTAATCTGTTTAATGATAGTGGTATATAAATGATTAGGGCCGATCGATATAAAGAAAGTCAGAAAGAACAACCCTCGCCCTAAGGAGGGCGAACGTCTTCATGTATCAAATGGAAATCAAAACCACCACCAGCTCTTCCCGTTTACTTAGCATGCGAAGCACGAAAACTTGACTTTATACAACCATATTTTACATCTTGACTTTTACATTTCATATAGCGGAATTTAAAATACATTCAAATATATTTTAATAAACTAACGGTATCATTAATTTTCGTAAATTATAATTAAGTTTACAGTGTTAGTAGTAATAAAAATAAAGTAATGTATAGAAAAGTGCAGAAACTATTAATAATTAATATCAATGTATCCAGTTGAAAATTGTCTTTTTCTTTCTTCGTTAGTTTTCTTTGGGGAATTGCAATAGCAGAACGTTGTTCAGTAAGTTTCTTAACAGTTCAGCGAATGTTCCCACGGGATTGCACGAACCCAAAACATAAACCAATTACCCATTGACATCGCTAAAATATTACTAATGTAGTTAATTTCTACACAGACTGCACTCCACCAACAAACTTCCCACAACGAATCAATACATACACTTCCTACAATACGCTAAGATTTGGCTCTTTGATTAAAGTCAATTCTCGAAACTAAAGACTATAACATTGCAGTTAATATTCTTTGACCCATAATTTGTAGGAAATGAGAATGAAAAACTAAATAAAAGAAATATATTCTGTTCGGTATAGTCCAACGTGCAGTATATAGCTACTCCCATCATTAGTAAAGCTTTTCATCAATTGCCATTGTCGTGATAAACGATCTCTCCGGTGTTGGAAACAGCAAAAAGGTTTCGCTTCATTAAAGCGGACGGTAAAATAAGGTTACTTATTTGTAAATGTTGTGTACATTAAAGACCTTTTGATTGCAGTAATAGCATATGATTGGTGGAATAGTTGCAAAGCTTGTCGTACATCCTCTTTAAAATATCTCCTTATAATTGATGCCTGCGAATGGCCTGATTCCGTTTTCAAACATCGCGAAGGTTGAATATTTCATGTTTCAGTCACTGAAATTATTCATGCACTTCTCAACGGTGCCTTCCAGCTGTCACTTTGTCGAACATTTCCCTTAAGATCCTATCCTCGGAAATTATTAATATCGAATTCTCGTTTTTTTGTTGTTCTTATTTCATATACTTTTTTTTTGTAGCAGACACGTAAATTGCATCGCTATAATTTGCTCAATAATGAATATCTGAAGTAGATTATAAATATTCCGTTTTAGTTTTGTATTCTTTCTCCCCACTTTTATTAGAGGATGATGTATGTTTGGCTTGGTACTTACGTAAGATGGATGAGAAGTGCGGAGGCTTTTCGCGCAGATCAAGGGGGATCTGGTATCATTGTTTTTGTTGAATTATTAATTAGGATGTGCGCAGCAGACGCACTTTATCAGATTCACGCCCGTAGCCTAAGTGGCTTCATGAATTCTACACATGTTACTGGTGTTTCGGACAGTGACCTCTCCTCTCTCCACGAGTTGCCAGTTCTTTCTGTTCCCTAGTTTATTTTGCATACTACACTTTACACGTATCTACTAGAACGGACACAATTTTAACGCCTTCGACGTACACTACTCAGCGTAATACAAAAGATCACATTATGCAAGTTGAGAGCAGAACGTTGGTTGGTTCTGGCCGATCCTCTTAATCTCATTTTCATATATTACCTAGGAGCTGCGTTTCGTATGCGCTAAAAGCTTCCTCGCATCGAACCGTACAATAAGATGGCTTTGATTTTTTTTTTATAGAAGATGAATTGCATGTGCCTTTCTACCGCATCGCGATCATCTTTCTTTGTCTTATGGGTTCATCAACACACTATAGTTTTAGAGAAGAAAAAAAAAGGCCGTGAACAATGGTGTGTCTGGGAGAGTAATTTGCTCCAGTAATTTCTCATAATGTCTTTTTGCAGACACGTCTGGATCCATGTATGTAGAAGATCGATGTCAACCACGAAGATTTTTCTTTTAAGAAAAAAATAAAATACCGATTCCCAACCCGACAAAACAAAATCACGCTGTGTGCTCTAACTTGCATTCTGATTAGGCTCCTCTCTTCCCTTGTTCTGATGTATTCCAGGCACGTGCGCGCTCTTCAATCAGGACTTGCAGGACGAAATTTCTTTAATAATTGATGCAAGACCACAGTTTTGATTCGGACGCAAATCCAGTTACCGCGCGTCCCACACTTATTGTATTTTGCATAAGAGAGTGATGACCCAATGCAATTGCGTATCAGCTACATAATGCAGCCAGTGCTTCTACACAAATGGGTTACACGGCATTCTTTTGTGCAATTATTCCTCGTTCATTGTTGCTGTTTTTTGCGAATGCTTTTTGTACGATGTTAGCTCTTCGCTCTCCGGAGGCTTTTTAATTGTGTTTCGGCATTTTTTTTTTTCCTCTTCTTCTCTCAGTTTCTGTAATGCAGTGCTACAGTTCGTTATATAATTATGGAGGAAACGTAATGCTCTTGAGAAATTAACAGTACATTTTCGTTTGTAGATTATTGAAACGCAAACAACGTTTTATATTTAAGCGAATTATGATTACATTTTTTTCGACTTCCAAATTCTTTTATGTGTAAACACTGCTTGTAACATGGAATCACACAGGACTGTACTACAGTTTACGAGAAAATCACTAAAATGTTGCTTTTTCGAGTGCCAATTTTTCATTTTTTTCAACTTTGTACGCCAAATTAAGGTCAAATGGATGTAAGCACAGAAATATATAAATACTCACTACATTCCCTAAACATTCAGCTTTCATATGCATATTTTGTATCTATTCAATCTATTATAGTTTTCGAGAAAATCACTAAATTGTGTATGTGTATCATAACGTTATTATTATTAAATCTTTGTTCTCAATTTATGAAATAATGAATTTATTTTTAATATTCTAATGTAATATTTGATGACAACGAGAGAACAAACCGCAATGCGCTTATTAATATGGCAATTAACTTTATTTAATTAAGCTTTCAATTAAATCTGTTACAATAACGAGTTACGAATCATAGACATGAAATCAGTGCAACATTTGGACTTCAGAGCAGTAGCAATTCAATTTTATTCATGTTATAATTAATTAGATTTTTTTCTATCTATTATATAGCATATACGTTCTGACCCTTTGTCTGACTGTCGATTATAATTAGCGTCGAGTTTATTCATGAAATATAATTAAATTTACGGTTTTCACATGCAATCTGTTTTACTATTTATTTTAACGTTGATTTTTTTTTTGTTAATTTCGTGGAAAATAACAAAGTTCTCTTACGTAATATTTATGTTTATGTCTCCCTTTCGGAACTTATCGACCCTACCACTTAGCGAGATACAAGTTCTCGAGGATTTTGTCATGTCGTGTGACTCGTTTTTCTTGGATTTTTTTGTTTGTTCAAAGATCTAGTTCGATCCAAAAGCATTTGAATCGATTATTATTGTAACTCAACTCAATTTTCAATTATTTCAAGTCAGCTACATGTTTTTTTATTGTATAATAGAATTTGATAAAAAAAAACTATCAGCGAAATCGTTGAGCTTTAACCCATATTACCTGTGGGTCAAAATGACCCGATTATTAAATATTAAAAAAAAGAACAAATTATTAATTTTTACAACAGACACAGATTAATTCTTATTACTTAATGAATTTAACATGATTTATAATTGATTTTATTGCTCAAAACAGTCTGCGCGTTAAAAATAATTTGAAATATTCTTTTGAAGTTTTTGACACATCGCTGTCATCAAATTATATAACAACGAACTGCATTATATATACAACAAAATGTGTAGTTGGTACACCTGTCAACAACATTTGAATAAGTTGTCAAATCAAAAAGATTCATATAGTGTGTAATAAACAATATAATCTAATACTAACATTATTATATTGTAAGTTGCTGTCCATTTCTTGTCCACACTTCTATTGCTTGGAAATAATAAACGATTTTAAGATTTGGAATCCATGTTTAGTACATATATACACATTCATAAAGCTCATTCATC